TGAAAGGCAGAAAGAGCAAAACAGTCCTTTTCCTATTCAGCCTAGAATTTTGACTCCTTGATATACTGAGTATATGTAACATTTACCAACTTCTAAAAATTTGACTCTTTGGACATGCCTTTGAGTGAAACATAACAAATGAGCTACCCATGTCATAAATAACCCGTTATATTGTGCTTTGGAATTTTTTTTTATCTTCTACCTTGAGACGAGCAAGTCAGCGTCCTTATTTTTTTTAATTAATTTAAATTCTTTACGGTTAAGAGCAGCTTCCTTATTTTACAACAACAAAGAAGTATTTGGGAGATTAAATGATACAAAACCATAGCTGGTTTAACTAAGCTTTTGATTCTCCTTTTTGGGTTTTAGACCTTTTTGAGACTCTGTTGAAGCTATGGATCTTCTCAGAAAAGTGTGCTCACCATGTCGTGTGGACAGATTTAGGGGACTCATGGACCTCTGCTTCAGAAACCTTGCTCTGAGCAATTACAGCCGCCAAAGTGCCATTCCTAGCCCAACTGTTTACTGGCATCCCCTCAGCCTTAGTAAACAGATTGCCATTGTGAAATTTCCTAGGAAGTGGAACCAAATACAATTAAATTTAGAAGCTAAGGTACAGCTGGGGCTTTCCTTGAAAAAAAAAAAATGATCTGGTAGTTTGGAGAATTTTTGTTGGGTGCATAAATGTGAAACTGTGGGTGGAAGGAGGAAAGCCGCAGTTGGTTGAACCAAGCTGAATCAGTAGGATGCTGCTGTTACAGAGCAGGAAAGGGGGGTGGGGGTGGGAACAGTTGATTTGCATCTCTGGTTGTACGAAAGATTCCTCTGGCAGCATCCGTATTCTTATAGCTGACTTTTTTTAAAAAAATAAGTTTATTGAGATATAACCCACATATCACATAATTCAGCCATTTAAAGGGCACGGTTCAATGGTTTCAGTATGTTCACAGGGTTGTGAACCATCACAACAGTTCAGAACATTTTAATCACTATCAGCAGCCAATCCTCATTCTCCCCCAGTCCCTGCCCTAGGCCCTTGTTGGTGAAGAACTCCAAAAACTTGGGCTCATCAGTTTTAGATTTGGCAGTTGATCTGAAGAAATGACATGTAGCCTTGTCCGGATTCCTAAGAACTGTATTAGCAGGAAAATCTTACGGACACAGGCAAAGCAGCTGCTCCCAGTGGTGACGGGCCAGGAAGAAACCGTACCCCCTCCAGGACAGGGCCCTTTTCAAAGGAGGTTAACTAATAACAAAACAATATGGTGGATGGTCACATAGACCACCGAGAGAACAATACATCCCTGAGTTAAAAGATCACATCAGGCAGTTATTACACTCTATCCATTCATCAACCTCTCTCCTGGGGCCTGGCATTTACCTCGGGGTGGCATTCTGGCTTTCTGGATAGTCAGCCAAGCCTGAGGCTGTAGAGAGTTCAACATTTCCCAGATGCCTTTGCTGCGAGAGCCATATTACATCTCTGAAGTGAGTTCCCCTATATTAACCACTAATCTACCTCTGTCTCTAGATATGCTTATTCTAGTATGTCATATTCATCACAAAATGTGTCTTTTGTGACAGGCTTCTTTTACTTAGCATAATGGTTTTTATCCATGCTGTAGCATGTATCAGAACTTCATTTCTTTTTATGGCTGAATAATATTCCATTCTGTGTGTATGTGTGTGTGTATTTTGGCCTTTGTGAATAATGGTGCTGTGAGCATTGGTGTACAAGTGTTTTAGTCAAATGTGTAGTCTCTAGATATTAGTGGCTTTGAATTTGTTGGAAACATTAGAATTGTTTAAAATAACAAATGACAAATACTTTCTGTTTACATAGATATGGAGCTTTTGTTGTTGCTTTATCTTAAGCTATGTGAAAAGTAGTATCTGGATAACATTAAAATTTTTAAATGTTTTAATTCCATAAGTGCATCACTGTAGAAAAATAAAAAAGATACAGTAAGCCAAGAGACAAAAATTTGAACCTCCAATAGTTCTACCCCTCAGAGGTAACCTTTTTAAGTTTTGGTTATATTTTGCCTTTTTTTAACATATGTATAAAATTTGTTAATTTTCATCATGTGTTTATTGAGTACCAACTTTGTGTCAGGTACTCTGGGCACTGTGGATGCCATGCTGAATAAAACATAGTCCTTGCCTGGAGGCTGTCGTTCGGTATGGGAAACAGACATGAAGTAAATAAGCATACCAATAATTTTATATTACAATTAAGATAAATTCTGTAAAGAGAAAAATTGTAGTTTGCTATGTGTGCGTGCACGCACGAGTGTATCTTCTGACCATTTATGCCCTCATGCCTCTTGAATATACTTCTTTTTCTCCACTGCTACTCTCTAGTCCAGGCTGTCTCACTCATGTGCCTGGGCTACGAGGCTATCTCCTGTTATTTATTCTGGCCTCCCTTCAGTCTACTTTCCAGAGAGATTTCTTTCAAAACAGAAATTTGATCATTCCACTCCCCGGCTCTTCAGTGGCCTCCCATCGCTTTTAGAATACAGGGCTAAGTCTTTAATATGACCTCTGAGCCCCTGCCTGGGTTGTCCTGGCCCTTCCGGTCTTTCTCTCTCGATTGATCTTATGCTGTTTCTTCTTGATTTTCATAATTTAGTCCTCTTGGCATCATTTCAGCACTGCTTCCTTCCACACAGGCCCTTGCACATACTGTTCTCAGTCTGGTGCTTCCCCACCAGCCATCCATTTCATCCGGTCAAAGTCTAGTCATTTATCAGCTCGAGTGTCACTTCCTCAGGGAGCTTTCCTCAGCAGTCCCCAGTCTAGGTCAGGTTCCTTTTTTAAGTATTTTTATGGAAGCCTACTTATTCTGATTTGAATTATGCATTCACCGTCTGTCTTCCTCACTTAGACTGCAAGGTCTATGAGAGCAGGAACCATATCTATTTTTAAAATCACCACTGCCAGGCGCAATAAGTACTTATTGAAAGTATGAATGAATATATGCTATATATAGTTATGTTCCAAGTAAAAATTTATGGACATAGAGGAAGATAAATATAATATTTCATCAAATCTACAACACCACTGATTAAAAGATGCACCATTTTTCTGTACCTCTGAGAAAAAATGCTGCCAATTAAACCATGACAGTATCAGCGCTAAGACATATCCTGATTTCAAAGATGTGCATGTGAAAAAATATGTCTCTTAGAACCAGTGAAATGTAGTAATTTAAAAGAAAAAGATTATATTTAATTTGTAATCTGCTTTTTCTATTTAGTATATTGCAAACTATACATGTTGACAAATATAGGTCTACCCTATCATTTTAAATGACTGCATAGTATTTCATTGTACAGATTTTACTCTGTTTTTAAAAAATTACTTTATCTCTTACATGCAAAAGAAGTTTCTACTTAAACTTTTTTATCCACATTTAAAAAGTTTTCTATTTTGCTAATGCTGTGCTTTGGTTTTCACAGTTTGGGGTAATTTCTTGCTAAGATTGTCTCAGGATAGATACGCATACCAGATTTTGCCTATAGGTCA